GATTGTCCGATCAGGACAACCGCATTGTCCGCTACACTTTTAGATCTTATTATATCATCTGATACGTCTTTAGTTCTCTCTTTGGATATGGTTGATTGTGCAAAGAGATGGGCGTCGACTCGTCGACTTTGATTATTGACGTCCGCGTGTCCACAATATGTCAACTATGTACAGAGTGTCGACAATGTCGATAATCTAGAATATTTCGTTGTGATGTGAATGAGGTTAGGTAGTTGCAAAACAGTGAATGTGCAATAAATTCGCAACGGATTCACGAACACGGTGTAAATTTGCCTTACGATCAGTGGTCGGAAGCTGAACGCTAATTTTAGTAACCTAAAGTTCGACTTAATAAAAATTAATACTTTACCTGCTCGGCATCAAGCACATAGGAACGTATCAAGAAAATACAGGGCAGCAGAGAGAAACGAAGAAATTTATAAAATCTTATTTCAAGTCTTATTTCATCCTAAAAATATGTTCTATAACAGTGGAAATTTTTTAAGCATATTTTTCTTTTTAATTCTTTTAGTTATAAACGATTGACTCAAAAATAATAAATAAGCTCAAAATAGTCTCTTTTTAAAAAAGGATTATTGTTCAAGTTTCCACTCTTTTAGGACCTATTTTCTTGAAACAAAGTTTTACTATTATCCAGTGTAATCCTGGGCAATATTTCTTGTCTAACCCTATATAAAGGTTGAGTCAGAATAGGTACGTATCAAGAAAATACAGGGCAGCAGAGAGAAACGAAGAAATTTATAAAATCTTATTTCAAGTCTTATTTCATTCTAAAAATATGTTCTATATAGAGCTTGCAATACCGGGATCCCGGACAATTTTTGTCCGGTATTAAAAACCGGTATCGATGGAAAAATACCGGTATTTCAGTATTATCTTTAATTAGCGCCTTCGATGGCCAGGGGACGGCCGATGTCTTCGTAAACGGCCGTGCTAGTTTGAAGTTGTGCTGGAAAATGACGTAGAGGATTCTTGTTTGTTATCTATCTTCTGTCTGTTCTAAGTTTACATTTTCAAGTGACATTTTTTGACGTTTCATTAAAAAAATGCTAGCCGAAGGCGACCGATTGAAAACGGCCGTGTTTAAAGCTGTGCTGGAAAATGATGTTGACCAAACAGAAATTTGTTATCTATCTTATGTCCTTAGTAACCTCATTTTTTCAAGTGACATTTTTTGATCAGTGTGAATACCATCTACAAGAAATATCATTTTGCACTCTGACAGAATGTTGAAGATAATGAAGACTCAACCTTTGATGACGACAACTTAATGTTCATGTTCAATAAATTTGTCATACCTAGCCAACAATAAAATACCCTCTGTATACAACTATTTTTGGATGTGGAGTTTTTACTCCATAATGGTGTATAACAGTGGTATGATACGTTTGACAAACTACCAAGAGCCATTATGTTAAAGTTTCTTTCTTGAATCTGCACCTTTCCAGAAAATTCCAAAGGAGGAATTCGAAAGAATTCCACAGAGCTTCAGATGATGAAGTGTAATTTCAATTTTTGACGTGGCAGTGAAGTTGAACATTTGGACCAAGTGAAAGACATCAAAACAATCAAAACCTTTAAGTTTATTGGTACTTTGTACAGATTCCTAATATCTTTCCATTTTTTGATTATCTTCTCAGATTCTGTATCTTATGCTTTGTTGCCACTCTAAAGATATAGTAGGAATTAACCTGTTAGTAGAGGTGACGCCGCAGAGGGGAAAAAAATCTTACAATTAGATATATCTAGTGATTGTAATTTAGTGTACACTTTTTTATAGCAATACCGATATTAATACCGGTATCCCGGTTTTAAAAATTTTGAATACCGAATACCGGCATTGAGATTTTAGTCCGGTATTGCAAGCCTAGCTAGTTCTATAACAGTGGAAATTTTTTAAGCATATTTTTCTTTTTAATTCATAATCTCTTTTTAAAAAGGGATTATTGTTCAAATTTCCACTCTTTTAGGACCTATTTTCTTGAAACAAAGTTTTACTATTATCCAGTGTAATCCTGTGCAATATTCCTTGTCTAACCCTATATAAAGGTTGAGTCAGAAAGAATGGGAAATCACGAAACTGGAGATAGTAGACACTAAATATGCTTTTTACCAATGTTGCTAGTTTAGGAGATACAGGGTGTTCAAAATTGATATTTTTCACTTTCATTTCTTAATAACTTTTAAAGTTTTAATAGTGTTTATGTAAAATTTGGAATTTTGAGGTATTTCAGTATGAGAAATAAGAATTTGATGTTGTTTCATTAGTTGTAGAAGGCGTTAGTTACGCCTTATTATTTAATTTAGCAAGCCTGAATACAGCCGATAAAAACCGGGTTCAAAATGAAAGGTGCTGGTTTCAAATAATTTTCTTTGAAATAAAAACAGGTTTGAAAATAAAAAAGGTACAACCTAATCCTAATTAACAAATCCTAATCTAACCCTCTTCGTTGCGAGACAAATGAATTTAAGCTTCGGTAAGAACGACAAACGTGATAATCGCTCGACAGTTGATTTTCCTCTATTAAAAGTGCGCACGAGATCGTGCGTACTTGACAAACGTTTTATTGTTGTAAAAAATATACATTATTGTTAACATTTTTTTACAACAATAAAATACGAAGGATCAAAAAATGTTAATATAATGAATTAACAAAAACAATGAGGGACGAAACACAAGTAAGTCGATAATTTAATCGATTGGCAAAATACAAATTTTCGCCACGGGTAACAACCGTTAACGGTTTTTATATCAACAACGCGCACATTTCCATCACGTCCGGCGTATGTTTTAATAACTCTCCCAGTGATCCAGTGCATCGGTGAACGTTGATCATCTTTGATTACTACTAATACACCATTTTCAATTGGAGGTACTGATTGATTTCATTTGCGTCTTTGTTGTCATGTATGTAGATATTTAATTTTCCAGCGGCCCCAAAAATCTTGGATCATCCGCTGTAAAAGATTCCATCGGTTTAAACGATTCAAAGGAATAGTCGTGACGTCCGGATCTGGAATCGCAGAGTTTAATGGTCCTACACACAAAAAATGAGAAGGTGATAATGGTAGCAAATCGTTAGGATCTGATAACAAAGAACACAGTGGTCTTGAATTAAGTACTGCCTCTATTTGCGTTAGGACAGTGTAAACCTCCTCAAAGGTAAGCATCTGGGTATCGATAGCTCTAATTAAATGATTTTTTACGGACTTCACATTTGCTTCAGTCAATCCATTGAAATGTGGTGCACTTGGAGGATTAAATTTCCATTGGATACCAAATTTGGAACCAGTAACTGTAGTTGGAACCAGTAATTCTTGTAATTTGTTGTTAGCACCAATAAAGGTAGTTCCATGGTCACTAAAAATGGTTGTACAGTTACCTCGTCTTGAGATGAATCTCCGTAGAGCCGCGATGAAAGCATCGGTAGAGAGATCTAAAACCAACTCTAAATGGAGCGCTTTAATAGATGTACACACAAAAACACAAATATATGACTTCACCGATCGTACTCCTCTTGCTCGATGCATGGTTGTATATATTGGACCAGCGAAATCAACCCCAACCACAGTGAAAGGTTTTAATTCTGTGGCTCGGAAGCTAGGAAGATCTGCCATCATTGGAACGTACGATCTGGGTTTCGCACGAAAACATCGAATACATCGTGATAGAACTTTGATAAATAGCACTTCTTGGAGATAAAATCCAATATTGTTGTGCTAGTAATGATGATAAAGTTCGAAGACCAGGATGTATAAATTTATGATGTGTTTCTTCAATTATAAATTGTGTTAACCGACAATTTTGCGGTAATAATAATTGATGTTTATGCTCGAATGCTATTTCAGCACAACGTAACCGACCACCCACACTGAGCAACCCATCTCTATCGATGAACGGAGGGAGCTATCGATAAGGGTTCTTGGGCGTTTGGTTATGATGAATGGATTGAATGAGATCAGAAAAATATTGACTCTGAATATGTTTAATGAAAACATGAAGGGAGTTTTGAATTTCAAAGGTAGATAAGATATTAGAGGTAAATCGTTTTTTATAAGTACGAAGGCTTTCAGGACCGGTGTTAATTAAACTAAAACTAGCACTATCACTAGAACTAACACTAGACCTAGAACTAGAAACTTTCGGATTAAGCCGTGCGTTTTTTGAAAAAATTTTTGACGTTTGAAGTGACACTTCGAACTTGTTTCTGAAGAAGGTTGCAATATGGCATCGGAAACGTCAAATATTTTTTTCAAAAAATTTATCTAACAGTAATTGAGTCTTCATAGTCCAAAGACAGTAATGATTGCAAATCAGTTTCCAAAAGGTGTGAACAATTACTCGCCCACTTGCCGAGCTGAAACCCCCCTTTCCGTAGAATAGCAATTAGATCTTCCTTTAATGTAAGTAAATCTTTGATTGATGTTGCACCGGTGACAATATCATCAACATAGACATTATGTTTTAGAATATGAGCACCATGAGGATGTGTATCAGAATATAAATTCATTAATTCAAGTATTATTCGAAGGGCTAAGAAAGGTGCTGAAGCGACACCATATGTTACGGTGTTGGGTTGATAAATTTGAATGGGATCTTCAGGGGAAAATCGCCATAAAACATTTTGAAAAACACGATCAGATGGCGAGATCATGATCTGACGATACATCTGCTTTATATCACAGATAAATAGGAATTTAAATAATCGAAAATTGATTAGAATATTAATAATATTTTGTTGTAGTTTGGGGACGATTAACTAATTATCGTTTAACGATTTTCCATTGGAAGAAGAAGCGGAAGCGTCAAAGACTACCCTAAGTTTATAATTGGCAGCATCGTTGCGAAAGACACAATGATGCGGAATATAATAATTACTGAAATTACGAATATTAGAAGGAATTAGAGACATATAGCCTGAATGCAAATAATTCCTCATGAATTCTATGTATTTCTTGTGAAGTATATCATCTCTCAACTAACGTTTCTCCAATAATTTAAGTCGTTTCAGAGCAATATCATATGAATTTCCAAGAATAGGTTCTTTGGTTCTAAACGGGAGCGATACAATAAATCTGCCATTAATATCACGACGATAATTATTTTTGTAATGATTTTCACATTTTGCCTCTTCAATTGACATCATCTTGATTTCAGAAGTAGATTCCAATTCCCAAAAGCGTTGCATTGATAAATGTAATGAGTCATCAATTCTTGAGATACATGTTGATAAAGACGTGGATGGTAATAATTTGGATTTTCCCATCACTATCCACCCGAACACTGAATGTGCAGCCACAGGATCGTCCTGACCACCACAGACACGACTACCAGTAAACAATTGAGGTACCAATTCAGCTCCCAATAATATATCCACTTCTTCGGAAGGAGAATGATGTTCGGGATGGAATTGGAGGCGTTTAAGATAATCGTAGGATTGTATAATAGAAGATAATGAAGGTTGAGCGGAACATATTGAAGATGTAACAATAGCTCTCAGATTAAAGGATAAGTTTCGGGAATGGCAAGGTTGAATGCTGCAATTAACACTTCCTTTGTTACAGATGGACGTCATCGAGTTTAAACCCTGTATTTCTAACGAAGAATTATTTTGTCGTGGCAAACGAAGTCGTTGCAGTAGCTTGGTGGTAATAAAATTTGACGTGCTTCCAGAATCAATCAATGCACATGCCAAATGAGGTTGACCAAACTGATCATAAATATGAATAAAGGCGATGGGTAAGATAACTCGACGATTTTCTGGTTTTGAATGATTATTTATATCTAATGTTGTACCCACATGAATAGAAGGAATTGGCTGTTTAGGTCCAAAATGAAGTAATGTATTATGGCGTTGCTTGCATGAATGACAACAGTGATTTGAAACGCAATTGTTAGTGATATGACCTTTGCTTAAACAATTTCGACACAAATTGTTATCTCTTGCTATCACTAATTTTTCAGTTGGCGATTTAACATGAAATTGAGCACATCGGTAAACCTGACGTGATTCTGAGCATATCGGACATTTGACGGCTGATTTCGAATCTTCCACCTTTAAATTAATTGTTTTTTCACGAACCATAGTAGATGTCGACGATTTCGATCGATTTATTGAGGGCTTCTTCGACGAAGTGAATGATACAGAATCTAGACCCTTAGATTGTTGTTCCAAAAAATGCAATAATTGTTTAAACGTCGGAATTTCGAAAGGGGTATGTTCTGACTCGAATTTAATATTATATGATGTATTTGACTTCTGAAGCAATATGTTAAATAAATTAAAATCCCGTTGGTCAACTGGAAAACCCAGAGTTCGGAAGCCCTCTACATTTTCTTTAAAGGAATCTATGAGAAGACGGAACGATTTAGATGTTTCTTCATGGATCGGTTTTAAAGCGACAATTTCATTAAAATAAATAGTGGCCAGGTAACGTTTATTTTGGTAACGCCGCTTTAGAGTATCGAATGCTATGGTATAATTCTCATTGGTCACTGGAATTCCCTTTACCAATTTCAAAGCTTCTCCAGTGAGTGACATTTAGCCACTGGAGATAACGTCTTGTTTTCGTGTACCAGGGTTCGGAACAAATCAAAAAACGTAGGCCAATCTTTCTGCTGACCATTGAAAGTTGGAATTGAAAGTTTATTCAATTTAGATGTGGTGATCATATGAGAGCCACCTTGAGGATTCGCCGGGGCTCGCGTGAATTTTTGTATAAGTGCCTTGATTGTAAAATAGGCACCATCGACCCGTTGCCGAATCTTATCATGATCATCAAATTCATCATCATCAATTAAACCAACGATCTGATTATGGATCGTCTTGAAGTCAGTATAAGATGTTTCTACAGATTCATCACGAACTAGAAATGCCGCTTGTTGTTTCGGATCGTCGATAATGTCTTGACCAACCTTCGTGGTTTCGATAAGGCGATTCTCAGCGACTTGACGTGGTAAAATTAATTTATTAAGTTTATCTGCCATAATGTCTCAGGGAGAAGGCAGGGGAAATAAACAAGAAAGAAACGAGATAAGAATTACAACTCCTGGAAGTAATATCAATAATAATTAGAATAAATTAAAAAGGTAATTTTTTCAGATGAGAAAATGCGGGAAAGAAAATTCCAAGGGGAACAAATTCTTAAAGAAGAATTGCGGAAAAATTTAGAAAATAAATATTCAAAGTTGTAAGGAAATTTTTAGTTCAAGAGAACAATAAGGTTGGACGGAACAAAAAAAAAATTTTGACCACGTTGTGCCAGATGGCCACGCCGAAAATTAAAGAAAACCTCTCCAAATATGAGTCATTATTACATCAATAGTTGTAGAAGGCGTTAGTTAATACAGCCGATAAAAACCAGGTTCAAAATAAAAGGTGCCGGTTTCAAATAATTTTCTTTGAAATAAAAGCAAGTTTGAAAATAAAAAAGGTGTATAATTACCTAATCTTAATTAATAAATCCTAATCTAACCCTCTTCGTTGCGACACAAATGAATTTAAGTTTCGGTAAGAACGGCAAACGTGATAATCGCTCGACAGTTGATTTTTCTCTATTAAAAGTGCGCACGAGATCGTGCGTGCTTGACAAACGTTTTACCCCATTTTTAGTGATATTTGGGTTGCATAAACAAAGCCATTTTCTTTTTGTTAAATTAATTGGCTTACTAATTCAATTCAATTGAAGTTATCAGTCTGAAAGAGAATTTAATTTTACGCAAAAATTAAATTATTTATTAAATTATTTAATTTGTTTGAGTCAATCGGTTTTCGAGTTATTTGCGTTTAAATGGTTTAATGTGATTTTTTTAAAAAATTAAAAATTGAAAATGGAAGGGGGTCAGGAATATTTTACCTGGCTTACGACTCGTTACACGAATTGTGGAAACTTAGCGATTTAGTTTCGAGTAGGGTAGAAGTATTAAAGTGTATGGAATATAAAAATTATTATGATAGCGTTATCGATGTGGTATCAACAATGCAAGGTGATATAAAATCGAATATATTGGTTGCTTCAAACGGCGTACCAAGTGAACATTTGTGCGTAACTAAAGAACTGCTCATATACGGTATGGATAAGGTATTACTGGATTTAGATTTGCACGCATTAATGAAGATGTGAAGTGAACAAAATGGAAAAAAGAGTGACGTTTTGCGAATCGAAAAATAGAGTGTACCGACGCTTGGACGTTTGCTTACAGACAATTAAGGATAAGTGACTGGGAAGAAAAGATGTTGGACGTAATTAGATTTAGGAATATGATAAGAAACGTAAATAAGTTATTACAAAAATATTTAGACGTAGATTATAGATTAAATATATATATCAAGAATGTTTTAGTATTGTAGAGTAACTGAAATGTTTTTAAGTGAGTAGCAATTAATTTTTAGGATATTAATAGTTTTAAGTGTAGCTGAATAATAATAATAATAGATTTAAGTATAACTTAAGAGCAGAACTGGTTTTGTAAACTATTTAAAAGGATTAAAAGCTTAAAGCACAACAGCAGAGCTTCATTTCTAGTTTTTAACTGTGAAGAAAAGGAAGAAGGAGTGAAATTATAAAATGAATTTGTTAGAACCTAATCGTAACAGTTATCGTTTGACAGGCAAACGAATTGGTCGAGGATTTTTTAACAAGTTGATAGATAAACTTCCGATAGAACTTCATTTGCCAGGATATAACTTTTGTGGACCGGGTAGCAAGTTGGAAAAGAGATTATTGAGAGGAGATCGAGGTGTGAATCCATTAGACGAAGCTCAGATTTAAAATTTAGACACGACGCAGATAGAGCATTATATAAAGCAGCGAAAGAACGAATACGAAATAAAGAGTCTACTCTTGGAGAAAAAGTGGCATCGTCCGTAATAGAACACTTTAACGTATATAGTTGCCTCATCTCCTTTTTTGGCATTACGTACACTTCAAGAACTTGCGAACCTTTACGCCGATGACAGTCCAAGAGCGGCCGAAGTTCTCAAAAATAATGTTTATATTGATGATATTGTAACCGGAGCTCAATCTGTCAAGAAGCATTACATCTACAACAAGAATTGATTGTTTTATTAAAGAAAGGAGAAATTGAGCTACGAACATGAGCGAGTAATTGTGTCAATCTCTTACAAGTTGTCTCAAAAACTAATTTACAGAAGCCGATATCAATGGATTCTGGTGAACTAAATTATGTCAAAGTATTGGGTCTTCATTGGGATCCTACTACCGTCATAATTCCTGTACTAAACGTTCGATACTGTCAGAAATTGCTCAGATTTACGATCCGCTTGGTTTTCTGGCACATTTAAAGCAAAAACAATCATGCAAAATCTCTGGCAGTGTAATCTTTCTTGGGATGAAAATCCTCCCACATCAATTTCTGATACGTGGAAATTATTCAAAGAAGGCCTAGCTGCTTTATCTACTTGGACTTTGCCCCGTTTAATGGTTCCGATAGACACCAAGTCGATCCAACTCCATCTATTCTGTGATGCCTCTCAACTTGAGTATTGCGCTGTCGCATACTTACGATATCAAACTTCTACTCATATTCAAACTTCTTTCGTCTGTGCAAAAGCACGTGTTGTTCCTTTGAAAACTATTTCGATTCCTAGACTAGAACTGTGTGGTGCAGTTCTCCTTACTGATTTATTTCAGACCATAAAAGAAGCGTTATCCCCAAACATCACTTTCGATTCGATTTTCGCCTGGTCTGATTCTCAGGTCACTTTAACCTGGATTTCTTCGGTACCTAACCGATGGAAAATCCATGTTGCAAACCGTGTAACTCAGATTCAGAATATCTTACCTTCTAAATGTTGGAGACACGTTTCATCCTCTAACAATCCCGCTAATTGCGCATCTCGAGGTCTTCTTCCCGACCAATTAATTACATCTTAATTGTGGTGGAAGGGTATTTCGTGGCTTACCGATTGTCCAGAATATTTGCCCTCAACTCACGAATTCATACCCGAACCATGTGACACCTTAATTACAACAACAAAAAAATATATGTAATACCAACACATTTACAACACCAAACATAATACGGTCCTCGCCTAGCTCAATTGGAGATTGGGTCGGGTATAATTTCTCTAAGGCGCCACACAATTGCTCCCGTATTGTCCACGAACTGTGACGTGAAGTTGGTAAAGTGAGTGTTGTAAACAAATGCCAAAAACAACAAATACAAGAACAACAAAAATAAGTCAACGATTTGAGTTGCAATAATTAGGTGAAAAAGTGAATAACCTAGTGAACTATGGTAGAACCTATGAACCTATGCGAACGGTGTAATCGTGTGGTGGGAGGAGATCAGGCGTCCAGTGCTTGGTCTGCTGCCTTTGGTTTCACACAAAATGCATTGATCCGGAGGAGACGTTGGAGTCTGTAGATGCGTGGACATGTCATGATTCAAGATCAAGAGAACGAGGCGCTATTTCTCGCAAATCATGTGGGTCTACTTCGGCGACGCCGTCCTGTCCTGCTATTACCTTCGAATCCGTCTACGAGTTGGTTAAAGAGATGCGATCCGAGTTGCGTTGTAAAAAGAGCTAACTTCTTCATTCAGTCGACTTCGGTAGCGGCCGTATATCAGATTTTGAACAATTTGTGAAAGAGTTAAGGGATAAAATAAAAATTATTGATAAATTAACAGCCGAAAACTTACAACTGCGTGACCGGGTGTCTGATCTTACAGCTCAAGTTGATGATATGGAACAATATTCCCGCCGGAACAATTTAGAGATCCAGGGTGTTCCTGAAAAGAATAACGAAAATTTGTTGGATGCCGTTGCTGCTCATGTGGGGTATGATATTTCGCGTGTGGATGTAGACGCCATTTATCGTGTTCCTCATATCAACCGTGACAATTCAAATCCAAGGTCCATCGTAGTTCCTCGCAGCCTGCATCCAGAAGAGAAAATCCTTGCCCACGGGCTCATCACCGGGCACGAAGATTGATGGCGTCGGTGAAAGATGCTTTGTGAACGAACCCTTACTATGATTGGTAAAGAAAAAAATTACAAAGACGTCCGCGCGCGTCTAGGTCAGATGGACTTGGCCCTTAGACCAATGGATTATTACGTGA